GCCCCCCCCCCCCCCCCCCCCCCGGGCATTTTACATCCCCCAGAAGCAAAGCTTAGCATGTCTGGACTCTGAGCTTTTCCCATGCCCCAAGATTTCCCCTCTACTCCACTGTATCTAGTCACTGCTGGGTTCTGTGTCTTGTTCTGCAAGAGGATGTTGGGCAGGGGAGGGTGGGAGACAGTAAACTTACATTCCCTGCTGATTACAATTTGGCAGTGTGCTTTAAAGGTCGACAGGCCTGTGAGTGGCTACAGTTCAACCCTTTTCCAGTGTGTGCAAAGCCACCATTGTTAACCACCTCGGTTTTAGATGGGGCTTTAAATGCTTTCACCATTACAAACAATGAAGGGGAGTCCCCACTGTCCCCATTATGGAATCTCCATTCACCAGAGGTTACCATGAACTACCAGTATCTATTATATTTAGCTTTAAATGTATTTTAATTTGTTGTCAGTGTTTTTATCTATTGCAAACCATTCCAACATGCATAGACTTAGAAAAAGAAATGTACCAGCCTAAAACATTTCTGTGAGCTGGGGGATGTCACTGTCTGGGCCAAATCCGCTGACTTCAGCTGGGCTCATTTGTGTCGCCTCACAGGGTCACCAAAGCGGGTAGGCTAGCTGCCCTCTGCAGTGGGCTCGCCCACCCCTCTTCACCTGGCGGTGCCAGCAAGAGTCACACAATGAGAAGGTAAGCCCACACTGTCCACGCCTGCATTTCTGCTGCTGACATTCTGTTGCCTAGAGCCCTAGTCACGTGACCAGTTTAGAGCCAGTGTCATCGAAAGACGTGGAGCAAGGAGAATAACTGGTCCCCTGTGTGCACAAAATTCTAGATTCAATACTCTGCACCATATTGCTGGGGATGGGGGATGGGGGTGGGATGGGGGCAGGGGCAGGAAGCCTACCTTCTCTTTGGCGACGTGAAGATTTGGATTTCTATGCTACTTCGCCCCACTGGGCTTCCGTAGCCCATTGAAAATGGGTGTTGGAGTGTGCACACTCCATACTCCAGTCATTCCGAGACAGCAGGAAGGCGTCCTCATCTATTGCTGGGCTTCCCTGGACACTAGAGTTCTGACTGAGGAGCGAGGGATCACCCGCTGTTGTGGAATGCTGTGGTCATTTCTGCCTTGAAATCAAAGCAGCCGTGACTACCCATGTTTGACTGTCATAGGACTGGCCCACTGACAGTCCCTCGTGGGAGTGAGGCTCCCAGAATGTTGGAGGGAGTCGCTTGTTGGTTCCTGGCCGCCCTGCTAGCTTAGACTCGAAATAACCACACAAAAACTGTATTAATTAAATCACTGCTTGGCCCGTTATCTCTAGCTTCTTATTGGCTAACCCTTATATTTTTTAAAATCCATTTCCATTAATCTGTGTATCGCCACGTGGCTGTGGCTTACTGGCTAAAGTTTCAGCATGTCTGACTCTGGTGGTGGCTCCATGGAGTCTCTCTGACTCCGACTTCTTCCTCCCAGCATACAGTCTAGCTTTCCCCACCTACTTCTGTTCTTCCCTGCCATAGGCTCAAAGCAATTCTTTATTCATTCACCAATAAAAGCAACCTCCGACACCAATAGAAGCTGCACCTGCCCCCCCTTCCTGAGAACATGTAAGCAGTTGACAGTAGTTGGAGGGGAGAGACTATTGGGTGGTAGAGTTGTCAGCTGTGAGTTGCCCGTGTCCCTGTAAGTAACTCCTCACTGCTGTTCCATTGTTCCTTGTAAGTGGCTCCAGTAAAACCCTCATTGTACCAGGGTAGATTTGGGTGCCGTGGTTTCTTTGGGCTGTCACGGATGTGCTGTCTGAGGAGAATCGACATGTGCTCATCTCTCAGGAAAAGGCAATGCCGTGCTCTTGAGATGCTAATCTCGTCTATGTCGATTGAGGACATGAACAGCTGACCAATAAAGATGCAGTCCCATCTCTCTTGGGCTCACTGCCAAACGAGACAGACCACTGAGGGTCTAGGCACAATGCGGTGGGATCAAGTTTACACCCGAGTACTGAGTCAGTGGGAACAGAGAAATGACCCCCTCTGCATTGCTCCTCGGGACACTGGAGGCCTGAAGAGCAACAAGCTCCATCACTCGGGCAAGTCCCTCCGCCTTCTTGGGTAGGTTTATTCACCTTTGCACAGTAACTGGCCTACAGGTGTCAAGACCTTCCTGAGGTAAAAAGATATTCTGTGCCTACGATGGATTCTGTCACAGGTTATGCCTGGATTTTTTGTTTTTGTTTTTGTTTTTGTTTTCTAACATTCTTTACCCAGCCAGGGACTGAAAAATGTCAGGCCAAGGCCTCTCCTCCTTCTGGGACTTGGGGCAGCAGGGAGTATGTGGTTCTTCCGTTCATCCCTAGGGACACAAAAAGCAAGGCAGTGTGATCTGCTGGCACAAGGTGGAGCATGGTTAGAATCTGGGTGGGAGTCTGGTCGAACGCTTGGCTCCCATTAAATGAATCCCTACAGTCATGGCACAAATTCTTGCTGGTT